TTGGTTACATCTCAAATGTATTCTCATACTATCATTCACCCTGTCCTCCATTACATCTTTGTCACAGATACACAAGTGTTTGATCACCATTTGAGTGATCATAGCAAACCATTTATATATTTTTTCTGTTTATACTGTGTGTTCTATACAGTATCCATCAAAAGTTTGTACACACCAATAGGAACGTGTCCAAAGTTTCGACTGGTACTATAATACACATAAATAATCTTTCTACTGTATTATAATATATACACAAATAATATCGGTATTTTACTCCCAAATATCGGTATCGGCCCCCAAAAATCCATATCGGTCGGGATCTAAATTTAAACTGCAGGTCTTGAAGCCCAATTCCGATTTGTTGTCTATATCTGAATTTTTTGAAGACCAGCTTCCATCTTTAAAATTGTCAAGTCAAGTCACATTTATTTATATAGCGCTTTTCACAATACAGATTGTATCAAAGCAGCTTCACAGTGATAACATGAAAGTAGCACAACACAGATCAACAACATTGATAAACACTAAATAACCCCAACTGAGCAAGCTCAAAGCAAGCCAAAAGCAAGGCGACAGTGGCAAGGAACCAAACTCCATCAGATTGGATGGAGAAAAAACCTTGGGAGAACCCAGGCTCAGTCGGGGGCCAGTTCTCCTCTGGCTTACATTCATATTGTTTAAATATAAATATTAAATATAAATATTGTTTATGAATCAAACGGCGCCATAACATATCGCAGGCGTTGAGTCGTCTCTTCACAGGCGTTGAGTCGTCTTTGTGAGCAGACACATTCGATATCTTCATTTATATGCACTTGGCGAAACAACCCAAGGTAGACATGCGAACCCAAAAAAGCTTAGGCCAGAAAGGAAGTAAAAATGGCACAATTTGCAATGGACGCAGACGAAATAATACAAGCTTTTGCTTTTCACACCATCTTAAAAGGTGACACAAATGCACGTGTCCGATTCATATCAGATTGATTTTTAGTGCTGGGCAATAATTACTTCGTGCATTATATATATATATATATATATATATATATATATATATATATATATATATATATATGAAAAATGAATGTGTTATTTATATAATATTTGTATATGATATAAATTATGTATAAATATATTTACAGTATATTCATTAAAATATTGCTTAAATACATGCATGTCTGTGTATTTATACATGTACAAAATAATTATATGCAGTACACACACACATATTTATGGAAACAAAAACTTTCATTTTGGATGCAATTAAACATTAGCCAGCACTAATTTTCACATATGGATGAGGCTTGAAGCCGATTGGAAGATGTCAGAATACTACTGCTTTTTCCTGCTTACCATTTGTCATATGCGATCCGTGCCACATTGGAGGAAAACAAATTTTGGAATTGGGTCACTTGAATCATGCAATGTAAATGAGGCCTCAATGATAATTTATACGGAAATTTTCAATGACTAGACATCATTTCTGCATCATTATACTATTAATCATTATACTATTAATTGGCATCTAACTTATGCACCTCAGATTTCCCCAAAATAAGCAGCTCTACGATTCGGGATTACACGAGCACGCTTTGTCTTTTTGAAACTGATCATATTACTACTGACTCCTGTTGTACTCTTACCATTTGCTGGCACTTCACTGGAAAAGTGCAATGCCACATTTGCATTTCATGAAGTGAAAATACCACCTGAGGACTTCAGGCTCTTTTTGATCCATTATGCTCTTTGCCTTTTTTTACACTACTCACCTTGCAATCAGCCTCCCAAAATCTGACAAAATTTGACAAGATCTATAGAATGGCATGTATTTAAATCTGTCAGCCCGGAATCAAAATCCTGTTTAGTGCCAGTTGGATTCTACAATTGCATTTGAGAACTAAATAATCAGTCAATAAGCAAAGTTTGCCACATTAATGACATCTAATCATATCTAAACGGCGGTTCTCATCCAAAATAAGCTTTGATGTGGGCCAGACCTACACAAAACTATGACAAATGTCACACACTGACTGTTACAGGCCTGACACTGTGCAAGTATGATGTTAAATAATATCTAATTGATGTAGGAGTAGTACTGTTGGTCATATGACCTATGTCAAGGACACAGAAGCAACAATACCAAAAAAATACCAAAATACTGTTCACCCAAAACGAGACAATGGGGTAAGTTGCATTACTAGTATAATTTGTGACCAAAATTAGTTACACCAATTAACTGACTGAGACTAAGGGACTGACAGCCTCAACGGAGATAGTATAAACAGATAAGAAGTGACAGCAATGCAATATATTCCAAATAATGGCCGGTTGCAGAGGCATCATGGGACCACACACACGTCTATAGGTGGGGCCTTTAACACCTGCTACCAGGTAATCTCAAAACCTCAAACAAAAACCTGTCATATTACATTATAATAGGCCAGAGAACCGTGTATAAAACAAGACGGAATCTCTTCGATCATATACAGTGATTGGTTTCAACAAATACAAGAATCTGTTTATTCTAACTTTTCCTCGGTAAATTATATATCTTATATATATTTCACACATACACACACAAATGAGGACACAACCAGAGGCCAAAACAACTGAGACTGCATATCTCAATATAAGTAATTCTCAATACAATCACTTTTTAATCTTCCTGCCATAAATCATTTCCAAGATACGTTTTAGTTTCAATACAATACATTCGAAAAATTTGGCCAAACCCCTCTGAATGTTCGAAGAATTATTACCATAAAGGCTGTCTGGGAAGGCAGATCACTAGATTGATTGTGTGTGTGTGTGTGTGTGTGTCACAACCAGCATTTAATATTCAGCTGGATAACACCGACCGGAGCTAAGCTAACGTTAACTCCCCTGCTACTTACTACAGCTACTGGTGGGAGGTCATATTCATCAGGGAATGGGTTACTACGTCTGTTTATAAAAATAAAAAACACTGACGTGTTCACTACAATCGCATAGTAAGATAAATGAGACCCTCATTTGAAGATATTTCAACTGAAGTCCTTACCTGCAGGTGCTCCTGGAATCTGATGGGTAGGATTTGAGCCATGATGATGGTGGTTTCTCTTCGCTTGCCTCTCTAATTCCTGCTATTATCTATGCCTAATCTAAACTACTCCAGAGCCGAGAATGAATGGAAGTGGTCTTGTGTATTTTGGGGGGGCAGATGAACCCGGAATGTGTTAGGTTTCTCAAGTCGCCCGTTGAATGTAAATGAGGCGCTTCAACTCCAGAATGTCAACCGCCGCTGAGAGGAACTCTAGAAACCTGCAATGGCGGCGGAACCCGTCCGGTGGAGAAACGCACCGGAAAGAGACGTAGATCTCAATGGAGGCGGAGGGATACGAGCACTGCGGAGAACAGAGATTTTAGTTTGTTTGACAATAAAATGTCAGTAAGATACGCGAAGGGATATTGTGATTGTGTTTTAATTATTTTCCTTAACATAGGAGAACTTAATAAGATAAGTTAGAGCGTAAAGGCTGAGGGTACTAGTTCTTTGCGAATCGCCCTTTGCTTTTTTGCCACATCATTCGTCCTCGTGAATTGACGTCAGTTCCGATATTATTTCTTATGTTTTATTTGTATATTACAGTCAGGGGCGTTTCTAGGCTTTCATCAGTTGTACTGGGGAACGGTAGCCTACTAAAAGTGCTTGCGTGTATTTTCGTTATGTTTTGGTAGGAAAATTCAGAACAGAATCGTTTTCAAAGCGGGTGTTGAACTGTATAAAGATATTCTTCATCGCAGGCCATTTAACAGTATGGTTTATTTGCAGGTTTGTAAATAAATTGCTATTTGTGTTCAACGTATCTCATATTTTGCTGGGTGAAAAACCCACTTCGAACGATTCAGTGTACGAATCATTCAAACTGAATATCGCGCTGTTTATGTTTGCCGAACGATTTGACCGAATAATAGAAAAGAACCGACTCAATAGAATTTGCTAATCGGGTGGCGCTAGTTTTAGAAAATACGGTTGTAGAACATGTTTTATTTACTTGACTGCCAAGATTATATTTATTATGTGTAATATTTGTTTTTGCAAGTGTACGCATATAAAAGCATTTTATTAGTTCAAATACTGAATCAATTATTTGAAAAATGACAAAAAGACTCACAATTGTTCATTAATCTACCATAAATGTGCATATGTAATGTACTTATAATATAACTAACAAATATGATCACAAATGATTATGAACCATACACTGTGACAGTAAACTGTTTTCCCAAGCACCTGGTGTATATTGGATGCACACTATTGTAATGTGTAACATACAAGGGTGTGAGGAAAAAAAACGAAATTAATTTGATGGTCAATTCCACTCGAGTCTGTAATGGGCAGGGGCTGATAGCCATGAATTATTGTCATTTCCTCTTAAACTTGGCCAGAGTTTGTGAAGTTAGCTCTGCTCAGAGGAAGGTGTGGCCAGCATAGTGAACTTGTTGATCTGAGTTGTTTAACGCATATGTGTTACTTGTGTCCATGTAAAATTCCATAGACCACATAATAAAGAAGTAATGCTTGATAAAACAAGCTTAAAATAGCCAAGTACTATAAAACTATAAGTACTATAATACTATAAAAATACCGTAATTCTATGCTACTAGAAAACAAGTTAAAGATTGTACACCTCGACCTTGCTGCCTGTTCCCTATTTAAAGATAAAGTTAAATTCTATTTCGTACTGCCCCCTAGTGTTTTTCTAACAAAACTACAAAAACAACAGTTACATCAAATAACAAAAACCATTTTATATTACTTGAAAATGTTTTTTAATGTTATACATAATTTAAGTGGTCTATGCAATACATAATACTTAACTGTGAATAAATAAAACATTTGGTCACTGAAACTATCACAAAAAAACATGATTTAAAGTGTTATCAAATGATCCCATATAACAAATACAGCACATATTTCATTATTAAAATTGAAATACTAGAAATATTACTAATCCAATATGTGCGAAGTTTACCTTATACAAGTTTTATTACAAATAATCTAAAGTGCAAACAGTTACAGTTATCTTTCTTTAAAAAATAGACCAGTCACAAATTCAAAAAACAGTGACAGAACTACAAAAATACACTTAATAAAATTTGGTCAGTCATCTTAGTGGTAACTTCAAAAAACACTTTTAAATGGAACATCCCTCACATTGACACCGATGAACTAACATACTGTAGTAACAGTGGTCACTGAAGCTGATGTACAAAGTTGGAAGGGCTGCCCCAGTAGCCATGCTTGCTGCGGTAACCCTGTTGGACCCAGCTGTGCGGTTTAAAGGAATGGTTGGGTCTGCAAGGGGGGCGGATCATGTAGTGTGGCCGCTGAGGGTAATGCCCTTTCCCTAGGCCGAATTTCTTTCTTGGTAGGGGATTCCATTCTGGGGCACTGGCATATACAAGCTTTACAAAAGAAAGAGAAGACAATAAATTGATAGAAACAATGGATACAGACATTTGCAATGATAAAAGTGAAATTTTCCTTCAAAAGAATACTACAATTCATCCAAATAGCTCTATTTTTAATTTGGTAAAATCCTTCAGATCTAATATTTGCCTCAAAGTGATGAGCCATTACCAATCTTTCCTTGCCAAGACTGAGATGCTCCCTTTATACCCAAAAAACAATACCCTCAACTATTACCAATTCACCAACTGCTTCAAAAACAGTTTAACTTGGATATTCTATAAGCTTTTCAATTTTATTTTGCATCTTGTCCCAACGTTTTTGGAGTGTGTTGCAGCCATCAAAATTAGTTTATATTTACAAAATACGATTAAGTTGTTCAGTGAAAACATTAGAAATCTTTACTTTGAACTTTTATCAGTTAAATAAAGTTGAAAAAGAACCAACAAAAATCACAAATTCTTGTTTTTATTGCATTTTACAAAATAACCTTACTTTAGGTTTGTAGAACCTAACTGTGCCTATGGCAATCAAGGCAATACAAATACATTTAAGACATTGTACCTGGTATGGAGAGTGGTTGTAGAGAGGTGGGTTGTACTGGAGCTCTCTGCAGGTGGTGTCCTCATCCGAGGAAGATCCGGAGTGGTAATCCGACGTTACCCTCTCCACAGCGCTCGTCACTTTCTTTGTCACATCCTCTTTATCATCATCGTAATCACTCGAGAAGGTGGCCACAGTGAAACCATGATTCCTCTCGCCATACCTGCAGCCATTTCAGAAGTAAAGATTTATTTCATATTTCAGCAACATATAGTGCAGTTGTAAATAAGTAAGTAGAAAAAAAAAAACTCACCTACAGCACACCTCTCCAGGGTCGACCCAAAGCGTGAGTTCCTTAGGCACGCCAAGGTCTTTATACTGGACTCCACTCTCAGCACATGCTCTGAGCAATTCAGCATCCTCTTTATGTAAGCGGTTCACTCTGATGCACCTGCACAGAATACATTTATAGCTCATTTTAACATGTGAAGCATCACATGCATCCTGAACTCCTGACTAGATGAGAACAGACTGCTGTACCTGAATGCTTGGCCCTTGCTGGGGTTGTCTGGATACCAATGACCCTTGTACTTCTCCTGTAGTGCTACAGTTAACCGCTCCACAAACAGATCCAACTTGTCTGCTTCCAACTTCTCAGCCTTCTTTATCAACCGCTTCAAGAAAAACACCACCGCGGCTATTTCTTTCTTCATCGTTAGCTATTCAGCTGAAATTCAGGACCAACTTCTGTGAATGTAAATACAGACTTAATTATTAAATAAATATTTACACACCAACACCCTGTGATAAGGCATTTTATTCATTACATTATTCATTAAATAATAAAACAATTAAAAAATCAACACGAACCATTTTAGTATTATTAGTATTACTACTAATGATAATACATAAAAACATTTAAAAAATGAATGAATAATTAAGATGAGATTTTTCCCCCCCAATAGCAGACTTCTTATTACTGTTAGGTCACGTTTCTTTCTAAACCATCAACATCAATCTACGCATGTACCTAAAACATAAGTTCCTAAGATGTTGGCTGTATATTGTTAAACCAAGAGAGAGAGAGAAAGCAAGAGATTAACACAAAGCTGGGCGGTCAGACGGCGGGACACAACAGCAGGATGGCGCGCTAATACATCACGGCCGTTTGAAAAACAAACCATGACAGAAATGACTCAATAGCATCACCTCAATCTTATTTTTTAGACTGCATTACATTTTCATAATTATTCTATATACTTTAAATTCCAGAGTTGTAGTTTCAGTTACCAAATATTTCTAGACTCTAGAAATAACAAACGTCATATTTATAAAAAATATATATAAAAAATGTTTTAAAAATAACGTATTTTAAAATACTAATGCTTTTAACGGCAGTTTCCCAACTGGACTTCAAAAGTAACACGAGCTAACGGAAGCGGCTTTTTTTAAATGTCATATTAAAACTATACTTATTCCATTTTTAATAATTACTACAAACTGAATCCAGCTGACGTTATCTGTAGCCTAGCCGAGGTTAACGTGGCCTCGATTCCATTTTCAGTTGGCTTTCCAGACAGTTTCCTTTTAAAACATTCATTTCCAGTTATGTTATGTAATATTTGGAGGTAATAACGATTTTACTTTCATGCAAGTTCGCAACAAACAGATATACTGACCGTGTTTTCCTTTCATCCACATGTGGCCAACTCCTGCGTAGTACCCCAGAGTGCACTCTGGACGATGGGGCGGGGCGACACTTTTGGGCGGAGCGACACGTGTCGCCCCGCCCACCTTAACGTTTATTGGTTTATAATAAAGATGATCTTATTGGTGCAGAGAAGTGTGACGCTATTACAGATTATTGGTGCAGAGAAGTGTGACGCTTCGGGCCGGCTGGGAATGCGGAAGAACACAACAGACGAATAAACTTGTTGATTTGGCGGACATTAATACGATTCCACATTATTCCATTGAAGTAGAAATACAAAGAGAATAGAAATAATGGTCTAATTCACAATCACTCCCTCAACAGCTGTAGTAAGTTAGATGGTCCGTTACCTCTGTATTACTCACTGTTTTTTTGTAAGTTAATGACATCTCGCTCTCTATCTATAGATAGATAGCGAGAGAGAGAGAGAGAGAGAGAGAGAGCAAACTATAGCGGACATGTCAACAGTCTCACCTGATAGTAACCACGAGTTTCCGTAATCCTACGAACATTTTTTTTAAACTACATTTACGGCTGTTAAACTTCACTGATCATAGCTCCAAAAAGCCATGGTAATCACAAATTAACTATGGTAATTAATTATAGTATTTGTGCGTTTACATAAATGTAATTAATAATGGTTGTACTATAATAAACCTATAAGGGAGTTTCTATACATGCTCTTAAGAACACAACAAAACAAAGACTTTGTCACTTTTTCTTTATTATAGACTCCAAACTGCACTTATACATCAGCAGAATGTAATTTATGCAAACCTTAAAGAACCAAGGTACTTTACCATATGCACAATTAGTGAAACCTATGTTTTTGCCATAGCTTTTCAATAGAACACTATACAGGTGAAACTCGAAAAATTTTAATATCGTGCAAAAGTTATAATTTTGATGAACATCAAATTCAAAATCTCACAAAATCAGAATATTACAAAAATGTAAGCCCTCTGAAAATTATATATAATCATGCCATATGCATATAGTTATTTATACTAAATATATTAGTTTCACTTTTTAATTTGAATTACTGAACATGAACTTTTGCACAATATTCTAATTTTTCAAGTTTGACCTTTAAGTTTACCTTTTAGTTGCATCAATTACTACATCAAAACCAGTTCATCTCTCAATTCCCATCTACAAGTTTTGAGTTTTACAGAAATTCATTTCCTGCAGCAAAAAAACAGTCCTGCGAGCAAAATCCTGTACAAAGATCTTCGCAGTAAAAGCCCAGCAGTTCCCCTAGTCTTCCTCTTCCCCTGTACCCTGGTGGATAGGACTTAAAAAAAGCTCCAAGCATTCCCTGAAGCTGTAGATCCGGCGAAACTCATCACAGTAGTCCGGAGAATTTTTTTTCCAGTTGACCACACCTTAAAATGTAAAGACAAAATACAGAAAAGATATAAGTGTGGAGATTCAAGTTTAAATGTCACATACCACACATTTCAATCCAAGAAATGTACATTGAACAGAAAAAAAACATCTTACAGTCTAGCCAGGCAAAGTGTGCTGCTTTCTGGAAAATTTCATTTGTGACCACATCCCTAAACCATCTGCATACCAGTGAAAGCGTCAAATATGCAGAATCACCAGTTGCTATTATTTCATGGGGAAGCTGTTGAAACAAAAAACATTGTTATTTATACTTGTATATAAATGTTGTTGAAAAAAATATAAACCTTGGTTCAGACAAACCTGATATATTGTTGTCAAAACTGCATGCTCTGAATAAAATAATAAATAAAGAGATACATATTCTCTTATAACGATAATATTAAAATAATATCGCTCCAACACACATTAGCCGCTTTCCCCACTGTCAGGCCAGTGTGGGCCAGGGCTTTCAAGGGTCGGGCGGTGTTAATAGCCTTGGACCTGTATCACCGAGCACAAAATCACACTGTGTTTCCACCGTTAGGAGAGAAGCTCTGCAGCGCTTCACTAAAGCCCTCCCTTAACATGCCTGTCTTGAACAATGACAAATAACTCCATTGTTTCACCAACAAATGGAAGTTTTACCAGAACACTATTCAAAGAAATTGCTTAATGAATGTATGTGCACAATAAATTACCTGAATCTCTCTGTCTGAATCTCCCCGAAGACATTGCCTTTTGTAAGGTTGAGTGCTAAGAAAAACAAATGACAAGAGGTAGGCATGTATATTGGTAGATGTAGTACATAAACTAATGTTTAATGTAGGAACATGCAAACAGCTACATGCATTTGCAGAGTGAAGTTGTCCAGTATGAGAGCACACCACCACCTCCTGATCAGGGGCATGTCATCCTGAATTTTTTAAAATAATAATAATAAACAATTATGCATGTCTGTTTATTTAACGTGAAATATGTAATGAGGTAATGACATAACTCTGTAAAATCAAATCGGAGCCCCAAAGCCATGTATAGAGTGTACTGTTACAATTCACAAAGTGCAAGAAAATGAGCAGGGTATAACTTACAATAATTAACTACAATAACAATTAAAATTTAACCTACCATCAGTATGTAACAACATGTTTAAAGTTCAGTCTTTACTACTGCACTTTAATGTGACTAATGTTTTAAGATCACTATGCATACTAACTTTTATACAGTATATTATATTAGGGTTGCAGCAGTATGACAGTTTCATGCTTAAAAGAGTTATATCTCACACATTTGATTATTTACAGTACTGTACTATTGCTCTATATCAAATCTTAAATCCCGAGATCAATTTTTTAGCCTATGCTATTTTCAGTAGTTGCCCAACTAAACACTATTTATTGCATCCTTTCCATCCACAGTTTACGGATGTAAACTGTGATGAGCTTTGTATCTAGTCAAAAATAAAGCAAAAAGTCTCAAATTATGTTACTTTTATCACACAATTCAAACAGTAAATGCAGTTTTGAAAATCAAGGCTATGCGGTGTGACAGCAGAGGTGGGCAGAATATCCAAAAGCTGTACTAAAGTAAAAGGACTTATAGAAATAATTAAGTAATAATATTTATTGTTATTGGAGTAGGAGTAAAAAATGATGCAATGGCAAAATATTTTTAAAAATATAATATATTTAAAAATGACTCACATTTGATTGAGCAGGACCATATACCATTAAACCACGATAATTTCTGAAACTGCTTTTGTACTGTGAAAATCTCATACCACTGCAACCCTAAGAGGTACAAGTTTACAAGTCGGTTACCTGTAGAACTCTTGACATTTCCACACTTAAGTTCAGATTCAGGTGTAACTGCTGGCTTGTTCCTATTATCCATTTGGTTTTTGGTCTTCGTGTTTGGAAGAGATCCTTATAAAGCAATAAAGATATTACCAGATAGAACAGATTACTCTACATGGAGAGGATTATGCCAAACAAATATGTGATACTCTGTTTTTGTCAAGAAGTCAAACCTCTGTTTGAAGAAGCGGAAGTTGTCGATGTGGGATCTTGTCATTTTGCTGTATGACAAAACATCTCCACTTTCAATGCAGGGCTCTCTCTAATGCAGGATTCAGCTCCAAACCTCTGTGCTACCGAGCTGCAGGTGCTTGCTCGTGCTGTACGCTCAGACCCACTACACAATCAACAATTATTCATAAAAAAATGAGAAATTATTAATTCATTCAAACTTTAACAATAAAGTAATTTATTGCTCTCGATTTAAAACAAACATAATTAACATAAATAAACATAGCTTTAAAAAAAAAAAACTAAACATATTGCTATTGTATAACAGAGCTCTCAAAGTTCTTCAAGATTCTTTATTCATGACATTCTTTCAGAAGGAAACTATTCCAGATTTGATTCACGAACATCATGGTACATTTTTAAATATGTTTATATAAAACTACACAACCATTTTTACTCACCATTTGGAATCGCAATCAACGTGGAGTGTCGTTCGTTCGTTAATGCTGCCACCGTTGCCTTTTATCGCAAACTGCCCCCTAGGGGGTCGGAGGAAAATGGCAAAGGCGGGAACAGGAAAATAGGGGCGGGGCGACACGTGTCGCTCCACCCAAAAGTGTCGCCCCACCCCATCGTCCAGAGTGCACTCTGGGGTTACTCACTCCTGCTGCCCGCCTGGCGCCCGAACAACACACTTCCAGATCTGCTACGCGCGAATACGTGTGTGACGTGACTTTGTTTTGTGCGCATGCTCACAGGAAATGATTCATGAGTCGATTCTTTTGATTCACGAAACGAAGAGTGTGGAGAAGAAGAGAGCTGAGCCCTGAGAAGCATACTGATGCAGGGTGGAATTTCTTTTTCTTTTTCTTACACCAATCGAAAAAAATAATCAAGTGATCAAGAGATTTGATCAAGTAAATGATCAAGTAATGATCAAACAAATGATCAAGTAAAGTCTGGTATCCTGTCACACATGACAATGAGAACTCTAGGCAGTTTTATAAATTGGACAATGGCGCCATCTAGCTTACAAAGTGGTGCTTGGTGAACTGAAAAACTCGTGAACTTGTGAAAATTTGACTTGTCCATTTAGAATGACTATTGCTACCCTGTAATTTCAATATGAGCAGCATGTTGTCTGAAGAGAAATATCTATATTAGGGTATCCACTGCTATCATAATAAAAGTGCTAAACTTGTGTGGCACGTCAACAGGAAATACCTCAGGATGTAGCTCTCACCTCACATCATAGACTTCATTATCACATGGACAGAATAATATTGCAACCCTTGTAAGGAATTTACTAGAACTAAAAACACCATGCAGGACTTTGTGTATAGGGTTATTTTAAGTCAAGTCACCTTTATTTATATAGCGCTTTTTACAATATTGTATCAAAGAAGCTTCACAGTGATAACATTAAAATAATACAACAAAGTTTGTTTCTAGAAGAAAATTGCGTCATCGTCCACCTTAGGTAAGACAGATCAATAATACTGTTGAATATTGAATTAAATGTCCCCAACTAAGCAAGCAAAAAGTCAAGGCAAGGAACCAAAACCTCCATCAGGTGACAAAATGGAGAAAAAAAACCTTGGGAGAACCCACTCAGTCGGAGGGCCAGTTCTCCTCTGGCCAATGAAGGAACAGTGTATGATTATGATTCAAGCAGCATTACAGGTCAGAAGTCAGATTGCATCAGAATATTTATCAAAGTTAAAAGAAAATGGAAATAAAAAAAGTGGTTCTGGAGCTTAGGTTTTCAGACATGGTAAAATTTAAGAGATTTAATTGAGAACTTGATAAAACTGTCTAAAAAATGCTCCACCCCAGATAAAATCAGATTGACCAATATTGCTTGAGAATAAAAAATAAAATAAATGACACAAATCATGGTTTTAAAGCTATGGCTCACTGGAATAATCAATATTGTGGAGGTGACTGTTAGCAGGATGATGATCCCTCAGGAGGACTGTACAGTATATACCACCTCAGTCTTCAGTTCAGAGTGCAGGATGAGCTCAGATGGGACACTGACCTCTACAGTCTGTTGAAAGGATCTCCATGAACAACCTTCAGAAGAGATTGATGCAAAAATATCTGATCAATGATGTTTGTATTGAAGAAAACACAAGGAAGGTCTTTTGTTAAATATAAGATTATATTTTGAACTCAATGACATACTCACACATTACTGCGATGATCAGGAGGACAAGAGTCAGCAGTGCAGAGATGTACAAAACTATCCAAATATGATTATTGAAGGATCTTTATATATTCTGATGTTTTTATACAGAATAAAAAGATGTATGTAATGTGTAATACCTCTTAACTTCTCTCTGTTCTCATAACAGTCAGCAGGATGCAGGTGGAGAATCATTGGTTGGCTCAGGGATGAGTGATTTATTTTATCACTTCTAGGTTCTGTCATCAAGCGAGAAGCCAATCACAACAGTTTTCTTCTTTTAGGCCTTCATCGATTGGATGACCTCCATATAAAAGTGTTGCAAGGGTCTGAAAACAACTCAGGGTTCAGTTTTACAAAGAAGAAACATTATGATCTACAGTTGCAGTGACATTGTCTTAAAAGTGTTCAAACAGTGAAACAAAATGTCCTGTAGACTTTATTTGCTCGTATTTGTGTCCAACAAGACTCTTTTTAGAGCGTCATCTTCATGATCTGACTGAGCAGCTGAACTGTTTTTTTTAACCGCACAGTGTCTACATGCAAAGTGGATGTATAGGTCATATAGGAAAAAGTTCTAAAGCAGTACACCTGACAAATAAAGAATGAACAATTTAGTAATGAATTGTTTAAATATACATCAACACTGGAAAGAAAACTGCACTCAGCAAACCAATTCATTGGTGCTGAAGCTGCAAATAACCTCATGGCCTCAAGGTCAAAACAGGGTGTTTACAGTCAAAACGTTAAGCAAAGTGAAAAATCGTTGAAATATAAATCACATGCACAAGTTGGTGTCTGGTCAGTGAATGATATAGACATGGATCAGTATCAATCATTGTAAAATTCAGTGTTTATTGTGGAGATGAGTGGAATCCCGTAGGGCTGCATGGAACTGGATGATGGTCACCCAGTGTTGAATACAATGCCTCACAATGAAGGTTAGTAGGCGTAGGTGTGACATTCGTTCTTACAGGTGGCACAGACTGCAAACGTGCTCTTCCTGGAAGAAAATGAGAATAATAACTTAGCATAATAACTTCTATTTTGGGAGCATAAGAAAGAACAATGCATTAGAGAAGTAATCTCTTCCCACCCCTAAACAATTTGCACTATTTTCTCAAAATGAATTTATAAAGACAAGCACAGCATGTAAAACAAGACTACTGATATTCATACAGTGATCCTAAGAGGTGCATGCATATTTCACTTAATAAATGTGCGTGAGTAAACAGAGCATCTGATAAGCTGTTCATGTTTTGGTTATTTCAGTTTGAGTCAAAGCAAAGAATCTTGGTTTCATCACGTTCGACAGTTGCTGCCATTACTTGGGTATTTACTGGTATTTTACATGTCATTTCACTAGTTCACCTGCACATTTACAGGTTGTAGCCTACGTTTCACTAGCCTATCTGTTTTTATACGCTGATTTCCCGGAGCTGTCATTTTGAAATCCATAGATAGATATCATATGGAGACTAGACGCCGCTGGAAAAACGAGAAATCCGGCCGCCATCTTGAATCGGTCGTATTCCTAGATTCGATGCGTGGCAGCAGATAAGATGCCAGAGAATTGTGGAGCATTTTTCTGTTCTGATCGCCAGACCATCGAAAATAGCATTTTTGACAAGTAAGTTTTAACATTACCGTACTATTGGTTGTATTTTGTGAATAGAATATTCCCAGATAATCGAGAAGGAGCAAGGATCTTTGATATTCGATCGTTTCACTTGATAAGACCCTTATTCATCGTCTGGAATCGTTTAAAGCCCTTTGAACAGTTTGCACTGAAACTGTCTTTAGGACCTTTTAACCGTTTGGTTCCCATTGAAGTCCATTATATGGAGAAAAGTCTTGGAATGTTTTCATCAAAAACCTTAATTTCTTTTCGACTGAAGAAACAAAGACATGGACATCTTGGATGACATGGGGGTGAGTGAATTATCAGCAAAGTTTATTTGAAAAGTGAACTACTCCTTTAATTTGTTTGTTAGATTTCACTTATCATTATTCTGTGTTAAAAATTCCATTCCAAGAGAATAACTCAGATTTTAAATGTATACGAACCGACTACATTTTGGAGATCAAAAATTAAACTTACTTAAACGCTCACACACGACTGTGAATATCAGTATGGCAAGAATCAGCAGCACACAAGTCACCAGAATCATCCACATTCTTATACCTATGAAAGAGGGATATTGAACAGAATTACATAACACAATAATTGCATAAAAATTCGAATAATTTGCGCAAATATTTCCATAAGACACTGTGGTATTTATTGCTACGTGCTGTATATATATATATATATATATATATATTGTTTAATACCTCTGTTCTCATAACAGTCAGCAGGAGGCAGGTGGAGAATCATTGGTTGGCTCAGGGATGAGTGATTTACCCAACACGAGTAGTTTGTACAGTCAGATACATTCAAATATGAATGGAGGGTGAATGATTCATCTGGGTTGGTTTTGTTGATGTTGTATGTGAGAGAGACGTTCTGAAATCCTCCATTTCTCATCCACACCTGCTCTAGAGCAGAAGGGTAAAACCCCTCAGAGAGGCAAAGAATCGTGTGATATCCATCCGAGGTTCTTACATGTGACACAGACACTTTGGGGTGTGCTATTGTAAATATTATAGTTATTAGTAAAAAGCACATGTATTAGGAGCAGATATTTGAAGAGTTCAGATGCAAAAGCCTCTAAGTGCCATTTGAAATTTTCTTCTAAAATGATCATTTTTATCAAGCTTATATATTCAAGTTCAGTAATTTCAGTTAAATGGCAAACTTAAATATACAAGCTTGATAAAAATGATCATTCTAGAAGAAAATTTCAAATGGCCCTTAGAGGCTTTTGCATCTGAACTCTTCATTTGTCCCAGTTATACACTCAAGTCACTATAATTTCTGATTCTTCTCATAATACTTACCAATCACTTGAACAAAGGTCCTTTCTTCACCCAAAAGTTTGGAAGGAGGTGGTATGGTTCTTGTCACAACACAAATGTAAGTGCCGGTATCATTTATCTGCAGATTTGACACCTCAAATGACATTTCCTCAGTCTTTGCAATAAATCTCATGTGTTCTTTACATGAGTGATTTATCCATGAATTGTTAGTCTTCATTGATGAACACAGTTTATTATTAGTTTTCAGTTCCACTGTGAAAGATTCAGTGTCATTTGATGGTTTGTATTTACAACTGATATTGACTGACTTTCCTCGATGAACAGTCTGAACTGATGTGCCATTGAATTCTGAATGTCCAGCTATAACTGAAAAAGATGAAAATTTAGTTTAACATTTGAAGGTATATTAAAAGAGAATATATTAAGAGAATTTTCACATTTTGAACAGTATTGTATAATCACCAGAAAATAAGGACAGCAGCATCAGAGCACATGTGGTCACAGAGTTTGATGATATCTATTTAGAACAAACAGAGAAATAAAGTGATACACATTTATTCTAATTTTGTTTGTTCTACTCGCTGACTGTACACGCTTAGTGTTTAGTTAAATAAATAAACATGAAATATTGATTTGAACTGAAATTAAGCTAAATGAGAGGGTACAAAATACATGAAACTAGCACACAAGTAAGACCACTTGCCAAGCCCAACTTAAAGCATTATTTCCCCAAATATATATTTGATAATAGAATTCAACAATTGACCAATCAGATTCAAGCGTTCATAAGAAGCTAGTCTTTCCACAAAGTGATACATTTCAAGACTGCAAAATATCACATGAATTACTGTTTAGTTATGCTTCACATAATTGACTGAAACATATATCATATTTGAATGAAAAACATCCGAAAGTAAAAGCTGATTCATAAAGTAACACAAAAAGTATTTTTGTATATATACAGTATATATAGATATTATTGTAATATAAAATATAAAACTCCCATATTCTCACCATTTCATTTTTCAGAAACTGCATCCGCTTTTGCATTTTGCATGGGACTCGCTGACTGTTCTAACTCATGATGGTGCAAATGGAGAAGTGAAGTTGATCAGAGCTTGCGACGTAATTTATGTCAACTCAGAAACAAGCTCATCCAATCCGACGGAGGCTGTCTAAAAGTACTTAATTTGTAGACTGAAAGAAAAATAAACTAATGCTTAATAAAAAAGAAAGAAAAAAACAACAACCTCAAGCCATTATTCTATGACATATAACCAACAAAGTTAATCTGAATTCATCCAGGGAGCAGTTAATAACAAAGCTCCCTTTTCTTTCATGGCTTCACCGATTGGACAGGACCAATATAAGAGGCATTGCTCATTGTCCAAGCAATGGAGAAGTAACATCATGACCTGCAGTTGTCTTACAATGTCTAAAAGTGCAAGGGTGTATAAATGTTAAACCAAATGTCTTGCAGACCTCATTTGCTCATAACTGTCTGCACCAAGACCTCTTTTGTAGAGCATCTTCATGCTCTGTAGAAGCGGTGTGGTCTAGTTATTTTAACCACAGCAGGGTTGTAAACACATGAAAGGCTGGGAAGTTGTCATTTAGGTCACGTGTGGAAATGTAGATATGAAATAAAAAGAAGTCAGTGCATGGATGACGTGCTCAGACCTATATTTACTGCCTGCAGTTGCACATAGGTTTCTGTTGAAGATGAATAGGAAGCTCTTCGAAAAAGGTGTCTTTGTATTTAGTTATTTATACACCAAGTGATATTTTAAGTGTTTAGTTTAGCATATTGAAGCGTGCCATCTTTTTACTCAAGCAATTGTAATTGAATTGAAATGTTTTTGCCCTTTTAAGGAGAGAAAATAAGTTTGATTAAAGATAATGAAGGCACATGATTTAGGTAAAAAGAATGATGTGCACAGATAAATGGTGAAGTAAACATCAAATGTTATTCCGAGATGGTACTCCTTGGAGCATCCGCGTTGTTGGAACCCTTCCGCATCGTCAGAAGGGATCTCAGGGTCTCAGGTGTTTCGGCCCTTAACCTGAACACCTCGTCTGAGTCGGGCAGCGAAGACTGACCAGCCTTCACCTGCAGAAGGGTTCCAACTGTGGGCTCTCCTCAGCCACAGCCATCTTGAGCTGGACTTGGCTACTGAAACTACTTTAGACTCCAGGCCCACCCTTTGGAGGAAGTAGTGCACCGATTTAGCTGGGAACGCAAGGCAGCCGACTTTATTGGGGTGGCTGGTCGCATCACATCCCTTTAAAACAGCTTTGTTTAACAGGTCTTGGTTGGCTTTTTTCAGTTGGTGGGACGCGGCTAGCCTCTCTTCCCAGGGCACCGTGAGCTAGACAACTATGATGCTTTTTGTGCTCCTGGATAGCAGGACCATATCTGGTCGGAGGGAGGTCACTGTGGGAAGACAAGCTTCCTCTTCAGGTCTATTCTTAACCTCCATTCGGAAGATCGTTGCAAGATAGAGGGTGGGTTTTTGGCCTCTGTGCCTTATGAGCCTTGTCTCACGAAGGTTATGGCCTCAGGCAGATGGGCCTGTTTGTTGTTGGCTTTGACTCACTGCTGTTCCACCCACTTGGCAATTTCCGTGAGGACATTGTCGTGCCTCCATCTGTACCGCCCTTCTGCCATTGCCTCTGGACAACCAGTCAGGATGTGGTTCAGTGTACAGGAGGCTGCTCCACATTAGTTGCAAGAGGGGTCTTCCTCTCCACCCCAGATCTTTGTTTCTTGGTGTTGGCAGCAGGTCAGCCACCGAGTGCAGGAGAAAGCTCAACTCCCTTTGGTTGGTCTGCCACAGTTCCTTCCATGACAGCAGTCGCTCCTGTGCCTGGTCCCACTGCTTTCACCTTGCGCTCCTCCTCTGTTGCGTCACGGACTCTTTGCACCACAAGGCCTTTTCTGGCTCTTGCATCAGCCCTGCTCCACCTATTCTCACTGTAGTGTCCTAAGCCCAGGCGTCCCTGCATACCACTGCAATCCAGTGGGATTCTGCTTCCATCACGGCTTGCTGGGGCTTCCAATTTCTGCCGCATTTGCTGGTCTGGATTGCATGTCTTACTTTCCCGCCTTCAGATGAGAGGAGTGTACTGACTCGATCACTGATGAGACTGGCAAGGGAAGCTTGGATGTCTTGCTGTACAGGTTAATTGCACTGAATGATGGGGGATTCCCAGCCATTTCCGCAAGAACTTACTGCACAGTCTTTCCATTCCTTCCACCTGGGACAAGGGTAAATCTTAAAGTAGGAAGGGCCATTGCAGCCAGGGTATGATGCCATACTGAACAATCCCGACTTTAAACCTCCCGAGCAGTTGGCTGTCCTCGGTTGCCTTAAGACAGGTGTTCAGCTGGGCCTTTGTATTTGTGAGACTGCCACTGTCCTTTAGGGAGCCGTCATACTGCTTTCCGAGGCATCAGATCCTTTGATCTTTGGGATCTAAGAACATTGGATGTTAAAGATGTTTCTGGTTCCCCTTCAAGATACTGAGGCTCCTAGTCTTTTCTGGTTTAAACTGCACGCGTGACCATGTTGCCATCCTTTCCAGTGCGCTCAAGATCCACTATGTCCCCTGAATAGATGGAGTCAACACCGTCACGTCTGCCATGAAAGCTCAACAAGAGGGATGTCTTGTGCCGTTGTCTGCTTTCGGGCCTATGCACTGCTTTCCTCCGGCCTTTAGCAACAGATTCATATAGCCGCTATGAACAGGGCCACGGAAATCATGCATCCTGCCCTTCTAGAGTATTTGGGGGTGGTAAATAATTTATAATAAATGATTAAATATTCCATTAAAAAATAATTTCAAGGATTTTAATTTCGTTGTGACTTTAATTCTGGAAAACGCAACTTTTAAATGTAAAATATTTTAAACACTACGCATCATACAATTGTCTACTTTGTGAATGGTTACAGAAAAAAAAAACACTTTAAATAATCTGTCATTGTATGTCTTTATTCAGTGTTTACTTCAACAGGGCTGCACAGGAACTGGATGATGGTCTCCCAGTGTTGAATACAAAATCTCAGAATACAGGGGATCGCGGAGGATCGGCTCAGGTGTGACACTCGTTCCTACAGATGGCACAGACTGAGAACTTGCTCTTCCTGGAAGAACATTAAAACATTTCCTCAGTCATTTCACATGGTGACGAAAGTCTAAATCACATGTGAGGGGAAATGAACACTCTATTACTTGAAATAGAACAACAACTACATTTGTAGGCATGATCAGGTTCAGATAGACGACAGAAGGGTGTTAAGGTTTACCAAATAAAACCAAGAACAGGTACTAAAAGCGTGAAAGATTTGTGACTGTATGTTGTGAATGTTAATTTTTTTATAATGTGATAACATAACATGACACTTGATGCCTTTTCTTATAATGAATATCAAAATATTCTGAGAGAAACAAAAAATGTTTTACACAGTTCCAGTTTCAGAATGACATTTTTAAACAAAGAGACTTTTAGGATGGACAGTGAGACTTACTGTAAAATGAACACATGACCGCAATGAGCATGAATGCAATGATCAAGGCAAAGACAGCCAACACCGAAGAGATGATAGCCACCACATTCACTGTCACACCTACGAGACAGAATAATTGTGAAGGCCTCATAAATACAGTAACATTTAAATAAAACAAAGTGTGCGATATCTCAAAACTTACCCCCTCTTTCAAGGCAGACAGAGCTTGATAAATTGCCCACAAGTGGTTGGTTTAATGATGAGTGGTTTACCCAGCAAGAGTAGATTGTGTCATTGAAGTTTTGTGGCGGCAGTACAAGGTATGAGGAGCCATTAAACGATTTGTGTGAGTATGAGCTGTTGAGGACGTCTCCATCTCTGATCCACAGCTGTTCAAGAGAATCATGAAATCCCGCAGAACACATAAGCACGTGAGATCCATTAGGCCACTTCTCACAGGACAGAGATAAGATGGGACGTACTGTAGGATTTCACAAAAACATTATTAGAATAATCTATCAACATATCTATTCATTTTTTTTCTTCTTCTGAGTACATAGTATTTACCAATCACTTGAACTCTTTCAATTCCCAGATCCTCTTCAGGTGGTTTTGCAATCCTCCTCACAGTACAGGTGTATGTGTCGGTGTCCTGGTTTTGGAGATTTAATAGCTCAAAGGATAATTCCATAGTCTCTTTAATCCATATGAATCTGATGTGATCTTCACAATCTTGTCTTTTCCATGAATCCATTTGTAAATATGAACACAGCGCTCGATTTAATGATTGAAGATTCACTGTCATGATTTCGGTGTCATTTGTTCGTTTGTAGTTGCAGATAATTTTGGCAGACTGTCCATGATTGACAAATAAAGTTGTAATGTTATTTGCTGCTGTATTGACAAAAGCTGAAAAACAAAGACCAGCAACAGCTTAAATTTCTAATGCTTTTTCTCGCGTTGCACATGCAGGTGCTTCCTGTGTTATTTGCTGAGGCACAACAAATCTGATTCAACCTCAAGTACTTTTGATTTCTTTATGTTAGAGGATATTTAACGCAGTTTGTATTACCGAAAACCGAAGACAGCAGCAGCCATCCGCAACAGATCACAGAGAAACACTGCAAAAAACAGAAATGTCATATGAATATATTTTCAACGAAGATCTCATGAATTAGTGATAAAATTCAGAGCAGCATATTTATTGATTAAGACACTGAAACTGAAGTATTAAATTTGTATATTTTGCAGATCGTGATAGCTGCATTTTCCCCCGTTGTAACAAAAACAAAAGAAAGATGAATTTTTTTGTTCAGCTTAGCAAAAGCATTATATTCATTAAATCTAAAATTATTTTCACACATCTTCGTAAGAATCACATACTCACCATCCCTCTTGTCGAATATGGCTGCAATCTGTCTTTTGCTCAATAAGTGTGTCATGCTAAAACTGGGCTGGCATGGTGATTTCCTCTTTAAGTAACGCAGAGGTTAGCAGCAGTTGACATACTTGAATGCGTCAAATTCCTTGTATATTTCATCACAGATTTTAATAAGACGCTAGGTACTAAACAAAAATAACTCAAAATAAATAACAACTCCACTAAACAAAATCTCAAAAATGTATGCTCTAAAGAAGCTTGTTAGCTGGAATTAAGTAAAAGGAAAGGATGTCAGCATTGCATCATATCTTCATACTTGTCAACCACAAACATGGGCAAGAGTGGAAAATTTAGTTTCAGGCATATGACGCACCATATGTAACCTGTGTAAAGTCACTGGTATTTACTTAGAACAGTAAATAACTTTAATCAAAACATGATCATTTTAGTTGAGTCATTATAATCATTACTTCACTGCAACCCACAAGTTCATCAGTGCTTAGAGATAGTGTGAGATAGGGACAGTTGGCTTTGACGCAAAACATTTTTATGACGTGTTATTTATCTACAAAAATACATAGGTGACAAAAAGTGCAAAGAGAGATTGCAATGATGCAGTCAGACCGGTGCGGGTTCGATTCTGAATTCCAACAGGAAATGACTGAGGTGCCCTTAAGCAAGGCACATAACCCCCAAATGATCTCTAGGTGCCAGAGCAAAATGACTGTCCACTGTTCTGTGTCTGTGTGTTTTCTACTCACTTCTCAAAATGTGTGTGCACTAACTTGGATGGAGAGGACAAACTCAGTGTGGGTTACCATATGCATTACCATGCAGATACTTAACCGCTGACATTTGCTTACTGGATGTTGCGTCGTGTCACAAGCACATAGAAGCCATTGTAATTACAGATGCTGTCTACACTGGATACAGTATACAGATGCGCATTCAGTTTCTGACATATTCCACTCACTTGAGTCTGTCGAAAACAGGACAAATGGACGAGTGAAGCTTTGACACGTGCAGTTTAAACAGCTCACTTGCGTTTTCGTACAGACTTTTCATGGGGTGCCACTGCCAGGGTCGGAAACAAGTGGATGGGTAATTTTAATTTTGCATCTTATAATTAAGGAGCTGTATGCAAGATTGTGGCCAAAACTGGTACTGCAATCACTTTCAAATTAGGGTGCATCCCCCCTTCCCCAATGACTCGAAGTTGCCAGATATGCTGCAGGTTTCAGCAGAAACGTAGGCTGCTACAAGAAGCTTCCAATGGCAAGTGACGAGTCCTACACAGTGAGTTTTTTGGTAACACTTTAAAATAATGGTCAGTAGTTAACAAGTAGCTATGCAGGAAGTAATAGGTAGTACTGCATTAACACCAAAGTTAATACTATTAACTAATATGGAAGCAATATTAACTAATCATTAAGTAATAGGTAATTTAGTACAAAGGTAGTTCCTTGGTAGGTATTTGATTGTTACTAAAGAAATATATCCTCATTGAGAACTACTTGTGAACTAAGAAATAATAACCAATTAATTACTAATCACAAAAGTAACATGTCTAAAAAGTGAAGAATTGTGGGGTTTTACTCTTAACATGGTCATAACATTTCAGAAGCATGTGCCTCAAATGGGTTCTTTGTGGAAACCAGTTTATGAAGTTTATACATCCCCCCAAATACATTAGCTAGGTTGAGATTGTGACCACTACTCTTGCCAGGATGGACGCATGTTCTCTGTTTATTTAAAACTTAAACATAAAATAATCCTAATAAAGACAGTTTTTAAAAATAAATCTTAAATAATTAGGAAGTGTTGCTGACACTCTCAGGATTGGATTAGTTCACTATTATGAGCTCTATTGAATGTCAGTCACATATATCTCAGACTCCAAAGACCTATAACTTTATGTTACAGTAGCTGCCTGAGGAGGACTTCTCTTTAGCACATGAATATAAACATTGATGTTCACTTGTCAAAAACAATTAGCATCTTTAATGAAGAAATTGGCTGCATTTATGTTACGATAAGCGCAAAACCACATCTTCCAGATTACAGTGTTTGTTAGAATATTAGTGCCTCACAGAACCTGTACAGTGTGTGTCAAATATAAAATTAAATTACTTGTATCATTTGTGAAAAACATGTTAACTCCTCAATAACTACTTAAGCGTTACCTTGTCATCCCCCAGGAACTACTAGTGATGTGGCCCATTATTTTAAAGTGAAAAACATGTTAACTCCTAACTAACTACAAGCGTAACCTTGTCATCCCGCAATGTTCACACAAGGTAACGTTTGTAGTTAGTTAGGAGTTAACATGTTTTTCACTTTAAAATAATGGGCCACATCACTAGTAGTTCCTGCGGGATGACAAGGTAACGCTTAAGTAGTTATTGAGGAGTTAACATGTTTTCACAAATGATACAAGTAATTTAATTTTATATTTGACACACACTGTACAGGTTCTGTGAGGCACTAATATTCTAACAAACACTGTAATCTGGAAGATGTGGTTTTGCGCTTATCGTAACATAAATGCAGCCAATTTCTTCATTAAAGATGCTAATTGTTTTTGACAAGTGAACATCAATGTTTATATTCATGTGCTAAAGAGAAGTCCTCCTCAGGCAGCTACTGTAACATAAAGTTATAGGTCTTTGGAGTCTGAGATATATGTGACTGACATTCAATAGAGCTCATAATAGTGAACTAATCCAATCCTGAGAGTGTCAGCAACACTTCCTAATTATTTAAGATTTATTTTTAAAAACTGTCTTTATTAGGATTATTTTATGTTTAAGTTTTAAATAAACAGAGAACATGCGTCCATCCTGGCAAGAGTAGTGGTCACAATCTCAACCTAGCTAATGTATTTGGGGGGATGTATAAACTTCATAAACTGGTTTCCACAAAGAACCCATTTGAGGCATGTGCTTCTGAAATGTTATGACCATGTTAAGAGTAAAACCCCCACAATTGTTCACTTTTTAGACATGTTACTTTTGTGATTAGTAATTAATTGGTTATTATTTCTTAGTTCACAAGTAGTTCTCAATGAGGATATATTTCTTTAGTAACAATCAAATACCTATCAAGGAACTACCTTTGTACTAAATTACCTATTACTTAATGATTAGTTAATATTGCTTCCATATTAGTTAATAGTATTAACTTCGGTGTTAATGCAGTACTACCTATTACTTCCTGCATAGCTACTTGTTAACTACTGACCATTATTTTAAAGTGTTACCAGTTTTTTTATGTTAATTATTTATTTCGGACTTTGTAACAAAGTATTTTGGATTCATATTGAGTTTTTGGGGGTTTCACAACGTTAGAATTTTTTATCCGATTCCGACACGTTTGTCACAACTTGACAACATCAACATCAGTCAAGGGCTGCGACTTCACTTTTTAAATGACAATATCCTGGCCGGACTACTGTTGTCAATGAGTGTTTGAAATTAACATGATTTCTAAAAGGGATAGTTCACTTTGAAATTAATTTTTGGTATGTTTTAGCTTACCTCAAGGGGATCCAAGATGTATCCAAGATGAAAATACTGTGGAAACAAAGATGTATCTTTGTTTCCACAGTATTTTCAATTTTGATATTTTTCGGTCAAACCGTTGTTTTCAGATCAGTCATATAATGGAGGTCTATGGGGTCCACCTCAAAGAGCATGCACAGAGAAGTCCAAATTAAACATGATTTAATGACTCGCAAAAGTAAGGACACATTGATGGCCTAAGACATGAAACGAGCGGTTTGTGTGAGAAAACAAACAGTATTTATATAATTTTTACCTTGTGTTACCACTTAACGGTTTAAAAACACTTTAATAGGCCTATACCACCCATAATGGTTTAGTGCTCCTGTTCAATGCTTAAAAACAATGACAATACAGTTATTCTAAAAATACTTTCTGTTTACCAGGTTACAGGTTTTTTTTCCATGTCAACATAAAGGCATTATAAACAATAGGCTACAACAAGAATTTCCATCACACTCGGAGAGCACGCACGCCGTCTCTCAGTAAAACCACTTAACACTTTAGCCTACATACATGCCTTTGTAACAACATTAGGGCACGTCCAGCAATAAAGGTTATGTGCCGCAGTTCTTATCACTCATGGCTGTGGTTTGGCAAAGACTTTATTACTGAACCATTAATGGCCATTTTCCACTGCTGGTACGGCTCGGTCCATTTTAAAATAGTTAAAATAGTCCAAGATCCATTTTCGTCTCTTGTCTATCTGCCTGCTCAATCAAACAAGCCCAGTGGGTAATGTTAGCTTATTTCAATTGCTAAATTGTAACTCTCAAATGTGTACAGCAACTAAGTTTTTTTATATAATGGCAGTTTATTTCAACAAAGAATAGTTTGCATACATTTTTTAATTGTGAAAGCTGTCTTTAGGATTATAGGCAATGCCCGGGGGTACTAAATCCTTGGCTATTTGGGGGTCTGAGTCTGAGTTTGTTTGCATAGGTTAGAGATGTGGCGCGATTTGTGTGAATGTGAAAGAACTCGAATTTTAGTCTGCACTTTTCAGGAAGTAAAATAACATGCACATGCAATGAAGGTGTTGTTAGTTTCATCGAAAAGTGGTGGGATGACAGTGGTGACGATTTATCTGTACGAGTGAGTGCGCGGTGTAATGGGCTATATGCACGCATAAGTTCCGCATTTGACGTAAGGATGCTCGTCCATTTCCGGTTGTGTAGATTAAAGCGGAGGAAAACCGGAGAAAACGGGATTATGGCTGAGTCTTCAATATTTACTGTCCTCCCGTCTTTGAAACGAAACGTACGTTTAGATGTAATTTTATATATAGTTATGTTTATTTAATATAATTTTAAAAAGAAGCATAAACACAACGAGGGGTGTCTGTTTTATCTGTTTTTGTGACTAACGTTTCATTAGTATAACCATGGAGTATAAAATTCAATATAAATTCTCGGTATTGCATTGGACTCTATGATCGGCGGAAGTTATCGAGCATCCCTAATGCTTCACCGGAAATAACGCCGTGCATAGAGCCCATTGAGCAGATTTACCAGAGCAGCAAAATGGCCGAAAAAAAAAAAAAACACATTACAAAAATCATTCCACAAACAATTTATAATTAGCGTTTTTGTGAACAAAGTTTCGAGGATATACACTCACTTTGGAATGTTGGAATGAACTTTCTATTAACATTATTGATTTTTTTTTTTTTGTCATAAGTTTGAAAGAACCTTGCCAGAACATTATGTGTATGTTTCTTTTTAACTGGACTTAGATTATTTTTAGCTGTTTTTTAAATTGGTTTTAGACGGGGTTTTTTTTCACCACAGTTGTTCATGTTTCGAATGTTCATTCACTATTTAAATTTTTTACATCATGTTCTGAAAATATAAAACGCCTTCCTTGAGATTTTGACATCATGACGGAGAGCTGATGGAGTTTCGGACACCATTAGGTCACTTGATGGAGTTTTTCGGTTCCTTCCTTGCCACTGTTGCCTTCGTCTTGCTCAGTTGGGGATATTCAAATTAATTAACCAATCATCATTGATCAGCTCTACCAAACGTGGATATTTTACACTAAGAAACGAACATTGTTATTATGTTTTGATTGATACTGTGAAGCTGCTTTGATGCAATCTATATTGTGAAAAGTGCTATAAATATACTTGACTTGAAAGCAGAAATAGACATAGGCCTAAGGAAGGATTCTGGTGAAGGCTATATATAGAGAGTTTCTTCTGAGTGTTCATTTTTAAACTGCTAAACTATTTCCTAAATTGCATAATTGTCAAAGTCAGAAAAGTTAGTAAAGCATTTTTCATTGCAACTGAAAGTTCATCAGAGAATCGGAGATGCAGAGGTTAGATTATGAATAGCTAAGGGTGCGATTATTTTCTGCAAAGTTTGGTTTGACAGTGGAGGCTACAAAAAGACTTTTACTATGTGTTATTTATTTATAAGAAATGAAATAGTACAATAATTAGTCCAAATACCACACCAAACAAAAAGTCACATGACAAAAAGTGCAAAGAGAGATTGTAATAATGCCCTAGCATTTGATCTATAAAAAAAAAAATACCTGAAAGTCATGTTCATAATCATATCATTTATTTTACAACACAAAATAGTTTAGTAGGCTAAACACAGTGAAAACAAAGCACCATCAATCTAATGCCTTTGTAACAACTGGTCCCACATGGCTTTAAATAAATCCTCACTAGCGGGTTATTGACATGGCATCGGACGCACAGAAGCCAATGGCACATGTCGCTATGCTTAGTGACACATCCAGTCTCATGTGCCACCAAAACTGACATGTCTCTTTATGTTGTGGCACTTCCAGGAGTGACACCTGCAGCTTTCTGCTGTAGTAACATGTCCTGAACATGTTAACATGCCTAGCGTGTTTTTGTTGCTTACATGGAAACTAGACCGTTTTAAAAATGTACACTTTGAAACCCGTTTTATATACCCAAAACGCATAAAAAGTTTTACGTTTTTAGTTGAAAACGGTAAACAGCCCCAAGGTGTCAGTGTTTCGCTACAATGACAGTGGCACATGCCACTATCCACTGTAACACGCCAATGAAGACTGGATGTGCCACCGGATGTGTCACTAAGCACAGCATCATGTGCCTCTGGTCAGATACCAGACATATGCCTCTTGTCATGTCATTAAAACAGCTTCTCCAAACTGAAGTAAGCAGCAGTTAGTTCTCATAAATACACTCTTCTGGCTGAGGTTTAGCAGTGGCCTGTGAGTTCTGGCGGGCCATGGCGAAACTGAAGTTCTCATAGACTTTATTGCTGAACACTATAGATCCGTTTTCATTTCGCTTTTTGCCTGCGTAATCAAACAGACATAGAAAAACATATATAAATAGAATGAACACATAGTTCCTTTCCACAGATAAACAGTTTAGGCATAAATCATTTACAACAGTGGTTTGTGTAATATAAACCGTTGTGGGGTTTTTTCCTAAAAAAACAAAACAAAAAACTTGATCTACTAAAATTCTTGTTTTAACAGTACAATTATAAAAAAAAAACCTTTTGAACTTTAATCATTTTTGACAATTGTGGTAAATGTATATTAACCACAGTTTATCGCCATCTAGTGGAGGTTTCTAAATATGTTTACAATGAAACCTCTAGTGGAGGTTTCTAAATATGTTTACAATGTACTGGTGAGGTCAGGACAAATTTAAATCCGGTTTTAGTGATCTATGAGGACTATTAATGCACCAGTAGACGAATGCAACAACCTCAAAACGTCTTTAGTTACTTTCCCATCATAACCACTATAGATAGGTTATTGTTTTTTTGTTTTGTTAAACTGTGGGCACTTGGTCTTCTTACGCACTTTCTTTCTCCAAAACTAGCTAATTTGTTACTGGTCTCGTCAATCTGTTCAACTGGCCTGCCGGGGTTTTGTCAACTGGTCAGACTGGGAGACCAGCTAAACTAGCAAGGATCAGCAAACCATCTTACCTTTTTTCATTTCAGCTGTTTTTAGGTCACAATATGCTATAACTGACACGTTCACTCCCTTTTTTAATTTTTAGATGCTGTCCTTGAGATTTTGATGTCATGGTGAGAGAAAGCAGAAATATACATAGGAAGGATACTTATGTGTAGAGATAGAGAGGTGTTTGAACAGAGAGGAGATAATTTTAGGGAGGAAGTCGTTATTTACATCAAATTCTTGACTATTTTTTGAGCAGCTGAACTATTTCTTAATTTTCATTATTGCGTAACATGGATAAAGTAAGATTCTTTATGCAATTTCCTTATTTTTATTGAAGTCCCTGTTACTAAAAAAATACTTTCGGCCCCGTGGGAGTCAATGGTTTCTACAGATCGAAGTAATCTGAGTTGTATGAATTGATAAAGAGTTAAACATAATCATACTCACATTTGCAAATAACAACAATGAGGATGATGCAGAGGACGAGGCCACCAGCAGCAGCAGCACTGCATAAGATCAGCAGCAGAGCTGTCATGGTCACAAACAGGGTACGATCAGATCATACACATTAGGACGATGTATGTTTGACATATCATATTATCTCCTCATATTTCACCAATCAGGTTGCTTGATACCATCATATTGTCTCCCCAAACTTATTTATAGCTGAATTAATGTGTGCACTTGCATTTAGTCCCCCCATGGTGAAAATCAAGCTTCCAATGTTCATTATATGTCTATGTTGTGTTTTTAATATGCTTTAAAACAAACCATGTGCAAACTCATAAGTCAGCACCATTGATGAGTATTTTCTCCTTAAAGTCCCCGTGAACCGGAAGTTGCAAACGATTTTTCTCCAGTGCTCTGATGTATTTCCAAGTGAAACGGAATATTGAACAGAGGGCAGGGTTTTACTCCTCCATCTCTCGCTCATAGCAAACTAACGGTTTGAGGGGAGTGGTTAAGCGTTTCCCCACCCAAGCTGTGAAACCTACGTCATCAGAAAAAGAAACCATTCCAGACCGGAAGTAACTTTTCAGATTTTGATTAAAGATTACCAAGGTAAAACATTTTTTTAATATATATTTACTTGCACGGATTAATTGTTCACCACAAGACTAGTAATATGCGCTGACAAAGTAAATAGGTTCAATTTTGATTTCACGAGGACTTTAAAACTGCAGTGAACCAAAGACGGTCTCAAAAACGCAGTTTGAAATCGCTGGTGTTTCTGACGTCATAAACTACCTGTTAACCAATCACGTCAACCGTGTGATCGTCAACGAGTGGATCTCTGAGCTGTGAGTGAGTGGAGGCGGGGCTAATTTGCATATTCATAGAACCGCGCATAGCCTACTAAATAAGGCAAGGGTGTAGAGTTACATACAAGTTATTTTTAGGCATGGCGATCATTGTTTCCACTAGTAGTTAGGCTGAAAACGATAAGATTGGTGGACATTTGCTGACTTGACTAGATTTAGTAAATGAAACATTGTACACGTTTTTCCTGATTAAAGTGATAGGTAGTTTAAATGACTCACCTTTGTCAGATCTATACTCTGAGTTGAGTATTAGTTGTGTTTGGATTTTGTTAATTGAGTAGCTGGCGTGGCAGATAATCGTGTCTCCATCACTCCAGTCAGGTTTACACAGCTCCAGAGAACTCTTCATGTCATAAGATGTGGATGAATAAAGTGACCCATGACCCGCTCGAATCCAGGTGAAGTTCACCGGCTCAGGGTTCGGAGCCTCCAGAGAGCAGAGCAGATGAACACAGCTGACATTACTGACGTTCAGTTTCAGCAGGGACAGACTTGGAGGACCTGTAGCGGAGATGGTGAAGAATTATATTTATTATGGACATCTTGATGGTCTTCAACAAGTGGACAGGTCAAAGTAATAAATCATTGAATGGCAATCACCTTCAACTTGGAGTTTCACATGTGAGATGTTGTCCAGTGATGGTGGTGGAATTAATCTTGTTGTTTTACAGCTGTAATTACCAGAGTCACTGAACTGAACATTTTCTATACTTAGTGACGTTCTGTTGAATGAAACATGAGGAATGCATTGCATTGTGTTATAAGATTCAGAATTTGTATAAAATTTCCATTTACAAATAGTTTTGCTAGTTGCACTATTTATCCACTCTACAGAAACTTCTACACTGTCATTAAGTAGTGAGTGGCAGGGCAGACGGACAGTCTCTCCTTTAACTGCTCTGATAGACTCCGCATCTGTGGATTAAAACAAATTATAGTGTTAACAATAGCAGAATGTTCCCTTTCACATATACAGCACATGCATCAAAATTATTGTGAAAGACATTACAGAAAGTCATATAAGATGAATTGGTAACACTTTCCAATAATGTTTCATTTGTTAACATAAGTTAATTAGAGTAGTTAACATGAAATAACAATAAATAATAATATTTACAGCATTTATTAATCTTAAAGCTAATTTCTACATGTACACATTTTTTAATCAAAAGTTTACATTAATTAACGCACTGTCAATTAACACGAACAAACAATGTCCAACTGTACATTTTTTAACTGACATTAATAAACGTTAATAAAAGCTGTAAAAATATATTGCTCATTAGTTCATGTTATGCATTAATTAATGTGAACAAGAGACCTTATTGTAAAATGTTACTGCGTTTATTAAGCCCATCACTGGCATCTTGTTTTGTGTAACTAACAGCAGAATGCTCCTTTCAAACAATTTGTTTTAAAATATATCACAAAAAATACCAGCATATCTAAGATGCATTCATTTAGTCCATCACTGAGATCTTTGAATTTTTGTCAGTTCATATTTCTTAGACAGTATGTCACAACTGAGACAGGCTATATGTGCTTTAAACAAAAGAGCAGAACAAACATAACTGAAGTCTCTTACCTGTATGATGGAGATAAATGAAAGTAAAAAATAAAAGATGGTTCGTAACCCATTTTAAATACATGTTGTCGATGTGCTCGTCGTGAAAGACACTTCTGCACTCACACATTCTAAGTGATGAACTTCCTGTCCATGCGATCCGCCCACCCACAATCTTGATCTAAGATCAGTAAAAAAAAAAAAACTAACTAAATCAGGCACTCAGAGATTCACTTTAACACAAATCGTGCTAATTTAAATGAATGACCATCACATCGTTTTACACCATTCTGTGTTTTTAAAACTCAATATTTCTGTAAGCAGAGCTTGTATTATCTTGAATGAAATCTTTCTGACTCAATGGCTTTGTTGTTCGACCATGGCATAGAGAATATGAAAATAAAGAGGTAACGTTAAAAAACAACAACAACAGTCTATTTACTTTCAAACATGGAGGGGTACAGACAGGACCTGGAGTTTGCTGTCTGTTTTTGTCTTTCTTTTTCTATAGTTCTGCTTTCCATGTAAAACTATAAGACGCCATAACACACTGGAAAGGGAGACCACAACATTTCACAACATGCTCTGAGTAGGCTACTCAGTGTTCACCTCCTACTAGCACAGACGGATGTGTCATGCAGTTAATGCTTTGAAGGGGGCAATAGTGTCAGTCGTGGTGGGACAACTTCTTGTGAATGTGTGTGTGCGTGATAGTAAAGTAATTTAAGTTTAGTATGTAAAGGAACAAGAGTTATTTATAACAAACCATGCAAAGTGCAACTGAATATGACAGCCGTTAAAAATGACTCCCCCAAACACTTGACTGCAAAAGCTCATCTGTTGTAGGCCTTACATATCATGTAAATCATAGTAGATTTAAATAGTTGAATTTGGTCAAATTTGGTATATGTATGTATGTATATACTGTCAGTGTGACAGTATTTTTATTTTTAAGGGAACTATCTACCATATTTAAGTCAGGACAACCGTCATGGACACCATAATTTAGATCATCAAGTCATACACCACCTTCTTATTTTAAAAATATTGTTTTTATACAATCAGTGGACAAGAATTTTTTTTTGCATATTTATTTATGAGTGATACTCTTTCCATAATACAGAAGTTGGCTTATAATTGCTATTTTATTTTAACTGAAATCAACTCACATTAATTCTCTGGAAAACAATACATATATACATATATGTATGTATTTATGTATGTATTTATGTATGTATATATATATATAAAAAAAATATAAATATGTGTGTGTATTTATATGTATGTATATATGTGTGTGTGTGTGTGTGTGTATGTATATATATGTACAGTATATACATGTGTGTATATACACACACACATATATTTATGTATATATATATATATATATATATTATATATATAATATATATATTATATATATATATATATATACATATACTTTTTTTTTTTTACAGAATTACAGAAAAAAATGATTCAATGCGTTTCTTGTGTTGATGGTCCAGTGCAGCAGGTCACACTCTTATCTGCAAGACATGAATATTACGTACATAATTTAGCCACAGTTCTTACACAGTCAAAGATAAAAGAACTGTCTCATAAAATGTTTCACCAAAAAAAAAAAAAAAAAAAAAAAAAAAATCCTTCCATATGTATATGTTCAATACAGATAGATTTGTCAATTCTGTCTTTTTTTGTTTATGATATAGTATAAACACACTTTTTACTTTTGGATGGAACTGAATTTCAGTTATAGCGTCAGATTTAGCATTTACTGAATGTGTAAAATGCACAGTATTTCTTACATTTGGAAATGCAGAACACCATCCAGATGAAAACGATGCAGATGGCGAAGGTACAGAACAGGACCAAACAAAACACTGGAGAGCGCTGGCTGGATTCTAGAAGATGGTTGATATATTAGTTATATTTCTTATTTTAGTTTTAAATGTAAATTTATTTATCTTAATATAAGATAAGGGACATTATATGCACCACCCACAAAAACAGAAAATGTTCATGAAACACAGACATCATCACATTACCCACAGTGCTCTTTATGAATAAAATTTTCTAATAAACGACCCCATATGGACTGTGGCTTTCTTACATCTTATTTAAAACCACTCACCCTTGTTGCTGAAGTCAAGTGTAATGTTCATGCTGAGAGGTGTTCGGCTGTTTGAGTAGCTGGCGTGGCAGATGATCGTGTCTCCATCACTCCAGTCAGGTTTACACAGCTCCAGAGAACTCTTCATGTCATAAGATGTGGATGAATAAAGTGACCCATGACCCGCTCGAATCCAGGTGAAGTTCACCGGCTCAGGGTTCGGAGCCTCCAGAGAGCAGAGCAGATGAACACAGCTGACATTACTGACGTTCAGTTTCAGCAGGGACAGACTTGGAGGAGCTGTAGTGGAGATGTGAAGAATTATATTTATTACGGACATCTAAGATGGTCTACAACAATTGGACAGGTCAAAGTAATAAATCATTTATGATTGGCAATCACCTTCAACTTGAAGTTTCACATAAGAGATAATGTCCAGTTCCGGTGGTGGAATTAATCTTGTTGTTTTACAGCTGTAATTACCAGAGTCACTGAACTGAACATTTTCTATACTTAATGACGTTCTTTTGACTGAAACACGAGGAATGCATTGCATTGTGTTATAAGATTCAGAATTTGTATCAAATTTCCATTTACAAATAGTTTTGCTAGTTGCACTATTTCTCCACTCTACAGAAACGTATACACTGTCATCAGGTGGTGAGTGGCAGGGCAGACGGACAGTCTCTCCTTTAACTGCTCTGATACACACCGCATCTGTGGATTAAAACAAATTTCGGGTGTAAACAATAGGAGAATGTTCCCTTTCACAAATACATCAAAATTATTATGAAAGACATCACAAAAAAGTGTACCACATATAAAATGAATTGGTAACACTTTACAACAAAGTTTCATTTGTTAACAAAAGTTAACTACAGTAGTTAACACAAAATAACAATGAATAATAATTTTTACAGCATTTAATAATCTTAATGCTAATTTCTACATGTACATTTTTTTACTCAAAGTTTTTATTAATTTACGCAGTGTCAATTAACACAAACAAACAATGTCCAACTATATTTTTTAACTGACATTAATAAACGTTAATAAAAGCTGTAAAAATATACTGCTCAGTTAGTTCATGTTATGCATTAATTAATGTTCACAAATGAGTTATTGTAAAATGTTACTGCGTTTATTAAGCCCATCACTGGCATCTTGTTTTGTGTAACTAACAGCAGAATGCTCCTTTCAAATAATTAGTTATAAAATATATCACAAAGAACACGCATTCATTTAGTCCATCACTGAGATCTTTAAATTTTAGTCAATTCATATTTCTTAGACAGTATGTCACAACTGAGACATATTACTTGCTTTATTATTATTTGCTTTAAACAAAAGAGCAGAACAAACATAACTGAAGTCTCTTACCTATATGATGGAGATAAATTAAAGTAAAAAATAAAAGATGGCTCGTAACCCGTTTTAAATACATGTTGTCGATGTGCTCGTCGTAAAAGACACTATTGCACTCATACATTCTAAGTGATGAACTTCTCCATGTGATCCGCCCACCCACAATCTTGATCTAAGATCAGTAAAAAAAAAAAAACTAAATCAGTCCCGGTCAGGCACTCAGAGATTCACTTTAACACAAATCGTGCTAATTTAAATGTATGACCATCACATCATTGTTTTACACCATTCTGTGTTTTTAAAACTCAATATTTCTCTAAATAGAGCTTTGTATTATCTTGAATGAAATCTTTCTGACTCAATGGCTTTGTTGTTGTGTATTCGATGGCATAGAGAATATGAAAATAAAGAGGTAACATTAAAAAAAAAAAACAGTCATTTTACTTTCAAACATGGAGGGGTACAGACAGGACCTGGAGTTTGCTGTCTGTTTTTCTCTTTCTTTTTCTGCTTTCCATGTAAAACTATAAGTAAGACGCCATAACACACTGGAAAGGGAAACCACATTTCACAACATGCTCTGAATACTCAGCACAGACGGATGTGTCATGCAGTTAAAGGGTTACTTCACCCCAAAATGAAAATTAAGTCATTAATTACTCACCCCCATGCTGTACCAACCCTTAAGACCTTCGTTCATCTTCAGAACACAAATGAAGATAGAGAGGTGGATCACTAGCCAGGTTTCCATCCAAGGGTTTTTTTGCGAAAAAAGGTTTTGCGCATCAAAATGTTTACCGATATAGCTGATGGAAACGCCAATTATCGATTTTTTTTTGCAAATGTCGACACAATCCTTTTCCGTTTAACTTTAGCGCATAAATGTTATGTCGATATTTTAAATGTCGCGAAAAACGAGTTTGGAAACACTTTTTGTCGAGAAAAAGGGCTTTCACGCAAAAAAATGTGGTGTCACGTGATAATTTCCTCACGCGCAAGGTGCAGTCGTCGTCACAACAAACACTATGGCGGACTCGGGAGCGGTTTTCGTGGACAGATGAGGAGACTCGTTATTTTCTCCATTTAATGGAAGGAAATGATATAACATGTATTTTTGACGGGAAACGACAGAGAAATCTAACCCCGAAAGTTTCGCCTACCACTCTATACTCAGCGCAGGTTGCCAGCTTGTAGAGGGCAATGGCAATCCGCTTTCGTGTTGGAACCGGTGGTCGGTGGCAACCTGGGGTAGGCGCAACATCAGGACCAATGAATCCACACAGCATCTCAAACGTCGGCCGTGTCATTCTAAAATGTTGCACCCAGAGACTTTCTGTAAAGTGTCTCTCCACAACTTCCTCCCAGAACGCCTTATTGCGTGGTCTCTCCCAGACGCTTGGGCTTCGTCGCATAATAAGCCCAATTCATTCTATATAATAATTAATTCTGCCGTCGTCTTCTGATATTTCGGACACTTGCAATTATTTGTGTAACTGTTAATTGAAATGACAGTAAGTTGGCAAATTTCAATTAACTGCCTGAATACTCTCTCCATTTTCTTGTTTGTTTGTTTTGGTGTTGAGGGTGTGCTGACTGGAACCTCAAAAGGTATAATTTGCGATAAAAAATAAATAAATAAATAAAAAATGTTTATGGAAACGGCTGAAGTCACTTTTTTTTGCGATACACCAAAACATATGCGACAAATCGCTTTCGTCATTCGTGACGTCATCACGCACACAATCTTATCGGTAAAAGTTCAATTGAATGGAAACAGTCAGGAGACGGCAAATTTCGTATTGTTTTTTTTTCGCATATTCACTTTGTCGATAACATAACAGCGCAAAAAGTGGATGGAAACGAGGCTACTGCTACATACTGTAGGCTCCTAAAGGATTGAAACTTGACGGCCCAGAAAGTCGTTGAAGAAAATGTTTAAATAGATCATGTGACTACAGTGGCTCAACTATAAGTTTATCAAGTGACGAGAATAGTTTTTGTGCGGAAATAAAACAAAAATAACGACTCTATTCCTTTTCTTCCTTCTGGGCCTGAGACGAGAGTTCAAGAGATTTCCACGACGAACGCGCGAGAATTGCGCAAGAAGTAGTTTAAGAAAATCGCAATTCTCACGCGTGCGTCGTGGAAATCTCTTGAACTCTCATCTCAGGCACAGAAGAGGCAATATTATGAGCAATATTAGAGGGCCTAACACCGATCCTTGCGGCACTCCATAATCTACTGACATTTAAAAACATTCTAATTTCTCAAAACATTTTGTTTTATGTGTACCACAGAAGAAAGAATGTCATACAGTTTTGCACCAACATCAGGCTCGTTGCTTCTTTCATGTTCCACACAGAATGACATGAAGGTGTGTACAAATTTTTCGGTAACAGTTTAATTTGGGGTCTAGTTGGTTATTAGCATGCATAGGATATTGGCTGTTTATTAGTACTTGTAAAGCACATATTAATTTTGCAAGACTATATTCTACATGTCCTACCTGATAGATTTTGTATTTTCAGTCATCAGATTCATTTATATTGTGACTGTGCATCAGATGTAATCCACTCTGTCTATGTCATTCAGCTGTATATCCCACAGAAACTGATTGGTGTGAATGACAAAGAATCAGCATTGCTCAGAGCGGATTAGTAAAGTAGATCGATCTCCTGTGGGAGGTCCTAACAGGTTTCTGTTGTTTGTGATAGGCTTTGTCTTCATGTATAAAGTCTCACAGACAGAGCTTTGGGTTAAGATTGGTGAAGGGCGACATGCTAATTTCACTGCTGAAGGACTACATAATAAACCTTCAGTAAATTATTCTCCTTACAAGAACTCTGGTCAAGCTTACTTATTTTATGTATTGGAGAAATCTAATCTAATTAAAATCTAATTGGCGAGCCAATGTAATCTAACCTAAACTTAACCGTACCAACTTTACCTTACTAACAAGCAGTAATTAGGGGTTTATTGAGGCAAAAATAGTTGTTGGAAATAGTTAGTTAATAGTGAGAATTGGACCCTAAACTAAAGTGTGATGGTATTTTTATTTTTAAGGGAACTATCTTTTAGATCACCATAATTTAGATCATCAAGTCACATGCTTATTTTAAAAATATTGTTTTTATACAATCAGTGGACAAGAACATTCTTTGCATATTTATTTATGAGTGACACTCATTGCATAATACAGAAGTTGACCTATAACTGCTATTTTATTTTAACTGAAATTGACTCACATTAATTCTCTGGAAAACAAAAAGCAGACATTTTTTATTTTTTTGGAAGGTATAATTTAAAGGTTCAAGAAAAGTATCATTGATAAACTATTATTTAAGAATGTATGTCTCCACTCTTCTGATGCTCTCATGTCGAGGGTCAAGCTTGAATCAGTCGGCCCATTCTCCTTTGACCTCTAGCATCATCAAGGCATTTTAGCCCACAGGACTGCCGCATACTGGATGTTTTTCCCTTTTACATTCTTTGTAAACCCTAGAAATGGTTGTACGTGAAAATCCCAGTAACTGAGCAGATTGTGAAATACTCAGACTGGCGCATCTGGCACCAACAAATCACCTTTCTTTCCCAATCTGACATTCAGTCTGGAGTTCAGGAGATTGTCTTATGTATTTATATGTATGTATGTATGTATATATATATATATATGTATATACGTGTGTGTGTGTGTGTGTGTGTGTGTGTATATATATATATATATGTATATATATATATATATGAAGAGTTCAGATGCAAAAGCCTCTAAGTGCCATTTTAAATATTCTTCTAAAATGATCATTTTTATCAAGCTTGTATATTTAAGTTCAGTAATTTCACTTAAATGGCAATGATAATTACCTTTTAATTGTCATTTAAGTGAAATGACTGAACTTAAATATACAAGCCTGATAAAAATGGTCATTTTAGAAGAAAATTTCAAATGGCATTTAGAGGCTTTTGCATCTGAACTCTTCATATATATAAATGTGTATATATATATATATATATATATATATATATATATATATATATATTACAGAATTACAGAAACAGAATGATTCAATAAGTTTCTTGTGTCGATGGTCCAATACAGCAGGTCACACTCTTATCTGGAAGATATTAATATTACGTACATAATTTAGGCACAATTCTTACAAAGTTCTTACACAGTTCTCAAAGCTAAAAGAACTGTTTCATAAAAATGTTTCACCAAAAAAAAAAAAAAAAAATGTCTTCAATATGTTCAATACAGATAGATTTGTCAGTTCTGTTTTTTTGTTTTTTTGTTTATAATATAGTATAAACCAGCCCATTCTCACCCCCAAGGCGTCACCTAACTGACGCCTTGGGAAGCATTTGGACATGCTTCAATATCTGACGCTTTAGGCGCCCTTTAGCGTCAGTTAGATGACGCCCTAGGATCGCGTGTACCCTACCCCCACCTCATACCTAAACCTAACCGCGTCTTCTAACAGACGCTTTCCTTTAGCGTCAGTTAGATGACGCCGTAGGATCGCGTCATGTAAGTGACGCTAAAAGGCGCCTAAAACGTCAAATATTGAAGCATGGTCAAAGGTGACGCCTTGGGGTGAGAATGCGTTGTATAAACACACTTTTTACTTTTGGATGTAAATGAATCTCAGTTATATTGTCAGATTTAGCATTTACTGAATGTGTAAAAAGCACAGTATTTCTTACATTTGGAAATGCAGAACAGCATCCAGATAAAAACGATGCAGATGACGAAGGCACAGAACAGGACCAAACAAAACACTGGAGAGCTCTGGCTGGATTCTAGAAGATGGTGGATATATTAGTTATATTTTCTCATATTAGTCTTAAAGGTCAATTTATTTATCTTAATATATATATATATATATATATATATATATATATATATATATATATATATATATATGTATATTGATTTTCATACAATTTAAAAATTACTTTTAAGAATTTAAAAGATAAGGGACATTATATGGACCACCCACAAAAACAGACAGACATCATGATCACATTACCCACAGTGCTCTTTATGCATTTCATTTCTTACATCTTATTTAAAACCACTCACCCTTGTTGCTGAAGTTAAGTATAATGTTCATGCTGAGAGGTGTTTGGGTGTTCGAGTAGCTGGCGTGGCAGATGATCATGTCTCCATCACTCCAGTCAGGTTTACACAGCTCCAGAGAACTCTTCACGTCATAAGATGTGGATGAATAAAGTGACCTATGACCCGCTCGAATCCAGGTGAAGTTCACCGGCTCAGGGTTCGGAGCCTCCAGAGAGCAGAGCAGATGAACACAGCTGACATTACTGACGTTCAGTTTCTGCAGGGACAGACCTGTAGCGGAGATGGTGAAGAATTGTATTTATTACGGACATCTAAGATGGTCTACAACAAATGGACAGGTCAAAGTAATAAATCATTTATGATTGGCAATCACCTTCAACTTGGAGTTTCACATAAGAGATGTTGTCCAGTGATGGTGGTGGAATTAATCTTGTTGTTTTACAGCTGTAATTACCAGAGTCACTGAACTGAACATTTTCTATACTTAGTGACGTTCTTTTGATTGAAACATGAGGAATGCATTGCATTGTGTTATAAGATTCAGAATTTGTATCAAATTTCCATTTACAAATAGTTTTGCTAGTTGCACT